GAAAGGCTTCTAGAATTTTCGTCTAGCTTAAAAAATTGGAACACGTTACATCCACTATTTTATAACTTCCCTGCTATTGGCACGAAATGCTTCCTTCAAACGTAGTAAGTTTTAGTTTACAGGATATCACTGAATGCCGAAACATCTCGTTGATATGGGCAAATAGTCTACCACATATATATATGGTACTGTTACAGACGAATCTAGAAAAATCTTAAATTGAATGACTTTTTCACTAGTCGTGCTAGAATGATGATTTTTCAATTTGTATTAGAAATACTCTTCTTTATTTTTTACACACTTGCCCCAGCGCTTTGGCAGCTCTGCACAGTTATGCACCTGCCATTTCCGTCCCCCTGTGCAATTTCTCTATCTATTTCGAAGTAAACCGCTATGCTTGGTTACGAGTTGCCTTTTGTAGGACCTGGAAAGCTCCGTAATCCCACGAACTTACTTCTAAAGTATAGGCGGATTGAGGCCGACGTTGAATATTCCTTTGCTCAATCCAGAAAGTAATGGAGGCATGGAAATGAGATCTGGCTTACCAAACCGCGTGCGTGCGATTGCTGTGGTCCATGAACTCCTTGAGGGATATGAGTTATCGGGCTGCATTTATTATTTCACTTTCGGCAAATATTTCATAGCAGCAGATACCCCTATGTCCACTACAGGGACAGGCATCACCTTAGGCCCGAATCTGCTCCATAGTTCCATTTTCAAGCCCGATTTCTCTCCAGAGCGACGCCACTTTCTCGCCTGGTTCCTCCCCAGGTGACCGTAGAAATTAAACCATGCCCTAACTATAGCAACAGTATTTTCCGGTTGGCTTTTCTTTTAATTAAAGTACCCCAAATTGCACGTGGGATACGCGACACGTACTTTTTTGACTGGCTTTGTCTTTAATATCACAATACCGATTCCTGAAACGTTTGCACAGTTTTTGCTCTTGCTTAAAAGGTCCTTGCCTAATAATCTTCGATTAATGTCCGAATGCTGAGCGTTCATTTTCAAATCTAGGAAAAGGTTTTTTTCCTGAACTCATTTCTACTGCAGTAAACCCAGCCAGTTTTCAGTTAAATTTCTAGAAGACCAGAATTGCCGGCCAGTTTTGTCTCTTTCCCCATGTGTCTGCACACGAACAAAGTTAACAGGCTGCTGATCAATAAACATGGCAGCGCGTGCGGTTTGTGGCGGTGGAAAACTACAGTTTTGAAATTTTGTTCGGTCATGAAAACACCGTTCGTCTTCGTAAAAGCTAAAAATCGAAATGAGGTGTCGATCACGATGATGACATCCGGCAACTGTCACGCAAATATGGACAACATTTCGCTAGCGTGGGGAGCACTGAAAAAATTTATCAAGAAATTCAAACTGGTGACTCGATCGTAGATAGAACGAGGCTAAGAAGAGCACCAATTTAAAAAGGTTATGACGTCGCTGAAATACGTAGCACTGCAGATACCGTTCAAACTATTTTAAATCCATGTCGTACTCAACCACTCAACCTATCGAGGAAAATTCCGCCAGTCATTTTAAAATAGAAGGTTCATTTTGTTTTCCGTGACGCATAGTTCTAGAAATTAAGGATCAAGGACTATCGCAGGGTCATTTATTCGTTGACCACGCACTAAATCACAATGCGAGTGCTGGTGACTTCGTTGAGCGCATTGTACTTTTTGTAAAAGCTAATTTTGAACTGCTCTGATATGTGAATCAATAGAAATGTCGCATTTAGGGCTCAGGGAATCTAGGGGTCGAGCCTTATGGTACGGCTCGCAGAGAGCGAAGGTCTCATTGGGCCCTTTTTTCTCGAAAAGGTAATGGAACGGCAGCGAGAGTCGATAGCAAATTCTATCGTAATGTTTTGCAAGCCTTTCTGTGCCCTGAAATAAAGACAGAGGAGGCAAGCAATTTTTGCTTTCGACATGAGGAGATAATTTGTTATACGGCACGGAAAACGATCAATATGATAGGAACAATGCACTCAGGCCGGCTGATCTCGATGCGTGGCAATAACATGAAGTGGCTATTCAAATCCTGTGATCTGACTACTTTTGATTCTTCCCTGTGAGACATGTAAAGGACAGAAAGTTGAAACAACCTCGAAAAAAATGTTGAACTTCAAGCATCGTATATATGACGTGATTTGTGAAATTGGCACTTATTCATGATGGGGCATGATTTACAATTAAACGAAAAAAATCGAATCACGCTAGCGATTGCCACATGTTGTAAGCTTCAGGACGAAGCGTCAGGGTGTTCAATAAATGCTGAACTTGACTATAGTAGGGCAAAACGTAACAGGGGTCTATGCGTGTGCTGAATTGAGCTGCTGGTAGTATTTTTTCGCAGGTTTTCGGCGGGGTCTATGAAACAGAATTTAGAGATTCATTGAGCAGGAACCATAAGTCTATTGGTTCGTGGGCGATTCGAAATCGATCCTATTAAGTAATAGAAGATCGAATTTCGTAGCGGTCAATCGTATCTGTTTTAATGTTCGTTGAAAATACGGTTAAGGGTTAGGAGGGGCATGCGGTCGAGACAGTTGAAAGAGCCACTCCAAAGTTTAAAGGGCAATAAAGTTTTTGCAATAACTTTCAACACCGTTCTTTTAGTAGTTTATGTATGTGTAAACTAAAAAAGACCAGAATAGGAAAAGCTTGTAATTTGAAGCACGTCATTGGGAAGCCCTTTTTTTGACCACAGATTGCAAGATCTATTACGTATAACATTGTCCGGACATAATTCAAGTGCATCCGGGTCCAAACTCTAGTTTTGTCGGTAACTATTGCTTTTGAATAGCACGAATCAATATCCAGCATGGAACAGATTCCTTATAAGCATTCGGAAATAATCAATGAGCTCGATTATAGCCTCGCTCTATTCATTCAAGTAAAAGGCATTTTGCTGTTACGTTTACGTTGTATTGGACCGGCGCATAAATAGCGTCCGTCTTTGTTTATTTCTTCTCTTTCTTTTTTTTTTGGCTAAGTCGATTTACAGTATCTACTGTATACTGTAGACCGACTCCAAAGGTTGTTTCGAGTTTCGTTTATTTAAAGCTGCGATTTACTAATCTATAATATATGGAATATTTCAGCAATTCCTGATGTATCAAGTAGGAAATATTTGCCCTAACTAAGCGCAGTTAAAATGATAATTTAATTTCTAGCTAAGCCGTGTAAAACATAATTTTCTTCTAATTTCTCTTCTGCTGATGATCAAACATTAAAATATAGCGACTAGAGCGTTCCTGCTTCCCTTAATAGGAACGATAACATTATACGATACAAATCAGCGAATTTTACTCTAGTGTCAGGCGCTAAATAAGGGTACGTCGGTTAGCAAAAAGAGCGCTTTTAATTGACCCAGCATCATTTCGAATTTCTTCCAATGTCAAAAGCTGAGAAAGCAGCCCGATATATGCACATACAGATTCCCGCTATGTATATCTATATACATATTCATTCGGTAAATGGTAAGTATTCTATAGGTGAGGGATCAGTTTATCAGCGGCTTGGTTTCAATGAAAAACGAACGATACTTTTTCTCACCCATATTTAATCCCACAACGAAACACTCCCCAGTGGTATATAATATTCTGAACGTTCAAAAATGACATCAATACAAACTAACGATCACTACCTGTGGACCAACTAAATTTTCATTTCTAAACTATTATATGTTATGCTCTCAGATTACCTCATCTCTATGCAGTGACAGAAAAAAAATAATCAGGTGTTAAATCGTTTTTTATTAGGTAGTCATTAACTAATTACAGCGCAGTCAAACATAAAAAAGATTTGTTAATTATAGGACCCATCATTTTGTGTGTAAGATCAATAGAGGTTCCGAAGGTCTAGATAGACTTTCTTGAGGGCATCCTAGAAGGAAAAAGATGCAACATCCCTAAGCGATAAATAGATTAGGTGGAGTCGGCAAGCGCGACGCCTCAGGTGGACTGCACAAAGGAGACAGGAACAACGACAAATCCTCACGGTTAAAAAGTAGCCAACCAAATATGTCACTGGAGGAACCGCTCATAGGTGCGTGACTACGTTCTTTTTTCTTCTACGGACCTATTGGAATATTTAGCAGTATTCTGTTCTACCATTTTTCGATGCACTATATTTTTTAGTGACTCCTATGCGAGGTTCTATTGCACTATTCTAACGCTGTTAAGCAAATGTCAGATCTATATTAGCCGTGTCTATACACGCCCCCAGAGGCCGAAAGGATAGCACAAGGAAACGGTAAGAATAATAATAATCTATTATGTTTTTCGGCATAACCAATAAGGATTAAGACGCCGATGTAGTTCGCCCGATTAAGGCGGAAACCTCCCTTAGTGACTTGACTATGGTTTTTTAGATCTTTCCAAGGTAAAGTAAATTATTAAGGCTGAGAATCTAAGGATATTAGTCGCTTTTAAGCTTTTTTTCTTCCAAATCAGCGCTAGAAAATGTGTGCTCAGAAGCTTTTCTTTCGGGAGAAAATGACTAAACGCACTGGCGCCGGTTTCAGAGAAACCTTGTGGCCAAGGCTGCTTAGGGAAAGCGAAGTGGATGTTATAAAAACTACGAACATAATGCTTTTGGTGTTGAGTAAATTATTTGTGTATAGGTGATAATTTGCGTTAGTGAATTCGATATGGACTGCTATCGGCGTATATAAAACTATACGACTTGTCTAGCTTGCGTAGATAATAGCGTGATGCTCAGTATTACATATTGGTAAAGCCCGTCACAGTTTATGCTGTTACAAACATGTCTTTAGGGAGGGCTGATGACAACCAATTCATTAGCTACACTGTCTGAATGCCTTTCTTCATCGTCCGTGAGTTATAAGACGCTTAGATTTGAATTTTGACAACTATTATCTTTATTTTGCAACAGTTTGTAGTTTGTGTGTCATAGCCCACATTGTATTTCCTTTTAGTAAAACATTATATGTGCATACAATATATGGCTGCGGAACTACCTCAGATCCACCCTGGAATCCATATGAATGCCGTAAAACTGTGGTCCGAATCGCCTGCGATGCTTTTCTGCCTCTGCTCACGTACACTACTTTAGAGAATCGACATTTTTATCGTGGGTTACCCGTGGTGAACACAGGCCATCATCGTAGTATAGACAGATAGCCCTTTAAGCCGAAGCGGTTTATAGGCGATATATAAAATACTATATGTTTACTCAGCTAACAGCGGCAGCACAGTAGTAACCTGTCTATTTCACATAAAAGCCCGCTTTCCAAACATGCCGCTGTTCACTCCACACACACGGCGGATAGCGGGGCGGTTCGAAAGTGAATGCATCCGTGCTAGAGACACTCACCCAACGAGTAGATAGAAACAGCAGCGGTAGTAGTAAAAAACTGTTGATGATGAATGCCGTCGGCAACGTAGCCGGTAGCCGCCTAAAGGAAAGAAGGCACGAAAAAACGAGATGATCCACAGTGTCGCTGTTTGCGCCTGCAGCCTTTCACGGCCTCTTCGTCATAGGTTACAAAAATGGTGCGCTTTGCAAGGCATACATTAGCGTATGTTCTTTGTCTCTACGTAAACCAAGCACAATACTCACAAAACCGAGCTGAATACTACGTCCGTTAAGATGTGTGGTTGGCCATAAAACGAAATAGTAAATCAGATGGAAGATATACATTGCTTACCTTTACCTTCTAAACAATTATTTCAGAATTTTCGTAAAAGAAAGCTATAAAGTAAGCTTTGAGTCAGAGAACGATGCTTACTACCATTCGCTGTGTTTGCGTATAAGAATTTAACACTGGACTACCGCAAAAGCGTAACAACATAGTGAAATAGCCTGATAGCATGACTGTACAAAACAATAAAAGCCGTAGATTCTTATCTCAAGTACGCTGAACAGATTTGTGCCTTGAAGAAGAAATTTAAAAGGACAGAGGTCCAATTGAAGTAGCATTTATTAGTTGTCTCCCAACACTGATGTCAGCTGTTGCATTTTTTCCACGAGCGACGAAAATATCGAGAGGAACAAGAAGTAATAGTGTCGATATTTTTAATAAAGCGCATTTGTCTGCCTTGAAGCTGAAAAGTGGGTTCCTAAAAAAAAGACCTTCCCTCGTTATTGGAGTCGGGCTTGAACCCCAGCAGCAGCTGACCAGAAGCGGCTAGCTTTCGAAACTAGCTGAACTCATCGGCCTGTGATGGTATAGGGCACTTTGGAATAAGTAACTGCACTTTACAACAAGCACACTTGGCCACTTCTCGTAAGTCGCTTAGGGCTAGAAAATTCGGAAGTGACCGAAGATGTACTAGTCATTGCAAATACGGTTAGCTAGAATGTGCTGGAAGGCATTTCATGCTGAAGTCTCAGGGGGCGTGTATACTCAAAAACTGTAGCACTGCCATGGGGCTTCTTAGTGCCCAGAAGAAAATGACTGATTTCTCATTATGACGTAGGAGAGCTGCTCTGTTTAAGCTCAGGCACGTGGGCACATAAATATATATGTGGGTATATATATATATATATATATATATATAAGGAGCACAGTGAATATTTCCATATTTACCAGGAGGTAAATTTAACTTCAAATGGCATCAGTTTTATCACCATCGTTGATGTATTATACAAAACGTGTCGCAGGCAGTAGTTATAGAAAGAAAGAAAATAAACAATTTTATCATCGACGGGAATATATAGTTGGGTTTTGTTTGCGTAGCATCATGTTCTTTGTCATTTACGAAAGGTTGCATACGAACGGGTCCATCCAGAAGAGCTTACTTCACGGATTGTCTGCGAAATAATGAAGTCTTCACGACAAGTACCGTAAAAGCTTTACCCTTCGATTGACAAAGCCAGTTATCTGATTACGTGCAGCTAGAAAGTTCTACTTCGACTGAGCTTGAACTACTACTTGACGTTTCATCCTATTTTAATTCGATAAAAATGCTGTATACTAATTAGAAAATAAATGAAAAAAGCTAAAAGCAACATTATCAGTAATTTTTTATTTGTGCGGTACAATGATTACTCAAGATTTAATGTTTTGCGTTAGCTTCGGGAAACCCAACAGGCATCATGTGGAAAACGATGTAAACATTCCACGTCTCGTATAATGCTAGTACACAATACCTTACATGTAGGCACTGCGCTGTCGCGAGTCATGCAGACTGAGATTGAAGGACTTCTGAATAACTACGCTGGCAGATGAAACTTGTAAGTGGTTGTATACCGGTTGAGTTCACTCCAAAAGAAGTTAATTCAGAAGGAAAAACATCTTGAGGTCTTGTAAATTAATGCGCAGTGGTCAGCTTTCTGCTCCTCGAACAGTGCTGCATAGATTCGTCGAAAATTGGTGAAGCTCTAGGCAAACAGACCTTAAGCAATAGCACAATACATGAATGGTACAAACGTTCCAAAAACGGAGGTCAAAGTACTGAACACCAGTGAAAAAGTAACTAGATGTCGTACCCTGAAGGTCGAGAACACATTGCCCCCATTAAAGAAAACTGTCGCGAGAGCAGAGCTTAGAGTGTCAAGCCTTTGTCGAGCAAAACAGGCATTTCACCTGCAACCTGTTCAGTAATCATAGCTTGAGTACTGCAAATGCGGAAACTAAGTTAAAATTGGTTCTACTTAAATTGACTCCAGGCCAGTTGGGAATACGTGTGATGCATTCCACATAATTTGGGAAACCTTAACTAACAAAAACATCTGGAGCATACGGTCGCCATGTTTCGCTAGTGATGTTTCCATCTCTACCACGAGGCGGAGAAGGATCAGGCGACGGGATGGAGTCGCCCTGAAGAAAAATCAAACTCTGTAGCAGTGTCGAGTAGGTTGAGATGTGAGGTAATGGTAGTACCGGCAATGAGCGTCAGGGGCATCTGTTACTATGAAACGCTTGTCAAATATGAAACCATGTATACAGCCCACTGTCTCGAGTTCCTCAAGTGTATTTCCTCAAGAGTCATGGATTGTTGAAACGCTGAACAAAAGCATGCAATCTAGTTATTTCTTAACAACGCTTAGTTATTAATTGGATAGTAATCATTGGATTCAGAAGAGGAATATCCATCGTGGGCTTCAACAAGCTTATTGTTCCGATCTATATATATATATATATATATATATATATATATATATGAGATATTTCACCATTTATTTACTATAAAAAGCTATAGATAGAGAAATTACATATTGGAACCCGAATAACAGGTATATAGCTGCCCAAAAGCTGTCAGAGCTCTGGGACATACAATGGAGGATACCTCTAGCACATATTAAAAGCCATCATTCTAGCCCACCTAGTTTAAAAGTTATTCAATTTCAAAATCCACCGGATTCGCTAATAACAGCCTGATATGATACTGTCCTTAACTTTCATTTCACAAATGAATATCGCAATAGACAGTACATTTCCTTTTTTTCAGGTAGCCCAGTGAACAGAATGCTTCTTCGTGGCGCGTCTTGTTCGCATATGAGAGTTATAATTTCTTTTACACATTTCGCTATTATTATTATTATTTTAACAATACGCGTCCTCCCTTTCTAATTCCACCATGATTTTCACTATTCGTCTAGTTGCTGCCAACAGCAGCGATAACGAGGTTGTCTTCCCCACGTTTTTCTCCCGAAAAACTACAGACCAACGAAGCAGCAGGGGCCCCTTTTTCCTTTTTCTTTCATATCGCGACACTGATGCGCTCCGGTTATTCACCAGTTCTGTCCGCGTATATAGTGGGCGACGTTCTTCAACGGCACGCGTTCTGCGCTTTCCTTGCCTCTCTCCTGGCGGCTTCGCTTCTTCTTCCGACGTACGTAGCAACCAAGCATACATGTATTCTGTGCATAGTCGCAGACGTCGAGGATGACGGCGCTGCCGTTACTGCTGTCGACGAGGATAACGACGTTTTCGCCGTTCTGGCGTTTCGTTCTCCTTCCCCGTGCCCCCAGCTTGCCTTCTGCCTCTGTGCATGCGCGTGTAATCTGTAATTGATTTTTACGCCCGTCGCCCCCTTTGTGATGATGTGTCTTTGCCGAAACGGGCTCTGTCTTAGCTTCATCGCTGAGAACCGGCCAGCGAAAAGCTAAAGGAACCGAGAGTCGTGATGAGACGCAGTAGAACCCGGTTTAGTAGCGTGCGGCAATGGAAAAAAAGCGAACAGGCAGATCTCAGGGATTCGGGAACGTTTTGGGTGAGAATAAGAAAAAAGAGAAGAGTCGGTGCAACGGCGCGTCTCAGCTCGACTCCTCGGGCTCTTTCCAACTGCTCTTTCTCTTTTGCGGAAAGACCGTCCATGGGGAGGGAATGCATTTTTTTTTCGCTTCGCTGCTTAGTTCGTTCGTTGTCATCCTTTTCTGTGAGCTAGTCAGAAACCTAAGCTCAGGCAATTGAAAGCAGAACCATTAGCTCCCCCGATCCCCGCTGCCGGCTCCAGAATGCGAAAGTTAGCGACTAGGAATAATAGAACGAGAAAAAAGCTGGAGCGGTATCGGATGAGCCGCTACTACCGCGAACGGCCTTCGGTAATCTCCGCTCGGATGGCCCTAAAAGCAAAGACGGAAGCGATTCATCTCATTGTGTTCTCGTCGGCAGATGTCCCTTACTCCGCTTCCCAGTAATCTTCTATTGTCTCTTTGTTGGAGGGGGGGGGGGGGCTTTCATGGTGGCCGTCTGTAATTTTTTCTATCTACATATGCGACTATACGCGAATTTATGTATGTGTATGCTCAGACATTCCCTAGCACCATACTACATCGATGTTTTGCCCTTTTTCCGTACGGCGATACTACATTTTTCGCTCGTTATAGATCACGTTTTTTCCACGAATGAGCGGAACGTGTCGCATTCTTGCGACTAGCAATATCCCGAAATCATATTAGTGTCAGTCCACCTTGGACATCTCAGTCGAACTTTTCTCAAGGGCAACTTCACAAGCGATAGTGTCTTTCTTTTCAGCTTTCCCTATGCGTCGATGCGAATGGCATTAACATTCTCAAGCATAAGCTAAACAGCAATGGCAAATTCTGCCGTGCTTTATAGAAAAAAAAGGAGGACTATCCTTAAGTTAAAGGCTGCCGGTAATTAGTTCGTGACCTTTATTCATTGACACTCTTACATTTTTATTATCAATTCTAGGTAGTTTTTTATCACTATTCGTAGAAACCGCGACTTATGTTCCCATTACTGTTGTAGTCCTTTATGGTGAGTTCGCTCACTTCGACGAAATCGAATACGGCGGAGCCTAAAAGGTTTCTATCCAGAGAACGCAAATTGGCCTGCCATTTTTAACCCTCCCTAGTCAACGTTCTACCTTCGAGAAGTTACGGGGGCCAACAAATGGCGCTTTCAAAATGGCACCGTTGAAACAAACAATGATGCATAGGTAATATTTAAACAGCACTAATACGTCCTAAGGATATCCAATAATA